TTTGTAAACACTGCAGATTGGAATCGCTTTTGACAGTTCAATTGGAATCATAACAGTGTTTCCGCTGGTCTCTTAGTCCAGTGTTTCTAGGTAAGACTACCCAAGTAACAATCTAAATGCTTGGAAGATTTATTCTTATTTTATCATTGTTTTATCATAGCATCCCTTCCAGCCTGTGGTTGTATTACGGTTTTGTGTGCTTGTCATAAAATCAGGCCGTCAAGTCGTCTATAAAACTGTTTTATGACTACTAAATTAAAACTCAGACTTCATAGTTTTAACGGTAGCTGTAAGGTGGTTCTGCATCACTACTTATAACTGAAGAATAAAACCAAAACAAAACATACAATTATGTTTTATTGTACACTTTTTATGACCGATATAAAACTTGAAGCAGTCTTAGACCTTCATTAAAGCTTCATTACAACTATCATCTTTATCAGAGGCCTAAGATTCACAGATAAGAAATATACTGCTACAACAAAAAATACTCTGAAATTTTTTGTCATTATAAAAAACAAATCTATTCAGATATATGAAATGAAAACCCCTTCAGTGCTTCTGAACACGATGAAGATGAGACGATCGACAATATGAAACTCCTGGAGGAACTACATAGTTATACGATCCCTACATAAGGCACAGTGCGGTGAAGGAGCTCTTAAAAATATTGAACAAGCGGCTTTCCGATACACTTCCGACAGATCCACGAACCCTTCTTAAAACAACGCCGACAGTTTCACTAAATCCGTTTGGAGATGGCCAGTATTGACATCACGGCTTTAAACCTTGTATTGAAAAAGCTTTTAGTGGATTCAATAAGCATTTCTTACATCTTGATTACAAGCGAAAATAGGAGGATCACTTGGAATGTTGACTTTTTGACAGGTGGTCATGGTTTTTGTTTTGTTTTGATTCGCTGTACTGAATAAAACCAGCAAGCTAGTTATATAGCTTAAATATAACTTAACGCTCTCAATTTGGACTACGAAATGCTAAGATACAACCATTAGGTTTATGTTATGCTATAGAATTCCAATCTAGGAGATTATGTTATATTGAGGTATTTTTAAGGAGTAGCAAGTTATAACGAAAAAAAATGTCGGCGTATGAACTAATTTCACACAGTATGAATAATTGCGCTTTAATTGATAGGCAATAAAACACTTTCATACATCTATGTATAATTAAATAATATGTGACTGGTTATTGCTCAACAGTAGTAACAGTTTTGTACTAAATAGATAATCTTTGGATGACTCTTTAATGCATGGTGCTAATGCAGACAAATTAAAAATATCCCTATATTTTAGTATTCATGTGGCGCACTAAATTTATGCTCCTATTTGGTATAATAATCACCATAAATATTGCACGGCATGCTGTGAAGCGTATACAGATTGGTTTAAAATTATAATAAAGTCGTCTTATTTTCAATGTACAATAATATCAGCCATTATTACCAACTGACAAGGATCATGATTTCACATCAAACATCGAAAGAATAAAACCACAATAAAATATTTCTCAAATTAACTATCATCCAAAAACCCCAACTTAAAACCTTCAAAGTTGTCAAAATGTTTTGCGTATCATGTTTTATCAACTTCTTCAGGAGCGATTTATGCGGTTGTAATATAGTTTTATGGTAGTCATTTGAAGGCTGTTAAAACTTTCTGACCTGGAGGAGGTTTTATGTTTTCATTTTTAACCATCACGTCTAGAGTGTGATAAAACTGACATAAATCCTATGCTCCTAAAGTAGTTCGCATATCAAGTTTTAATGACTGCATTAAAACTGGGCCAATTGGCCATGACATGGCTGTATTGCGGTTCTCAGGAGATTGTTAAAGCAATCTGGTCGTCAGTGAAGGTTTTATAATTTGGTTATATCAACTGCTATAAAACTTAAATAAAACAAAAATTGTTGCTTGGGTAGGGTTCTGATGCATGGTCATTATCGGTGTCACTCCTTAATTTTGTTGCTAAGGAATCCAATTTTGACTGGCAAAGGGGCGCGCCTTTGGAGGGTGTTTCAACACTCCGAAGGGTATAAATAGCGGGACCTTTCAATTAGAATCGAATCCTTGCGATAAATGCTAGAATGACAACTGTAAAAAAATCGAATACTTCATCATTTCTCAATACACAGGACACAGGGTATACTACAATAGATCAAATTACTGGTCGCAGTGGCGTTAGCCTAAGGGCCTCCCTTAGCTCAGTCGGTAAAGGCGCAGCTACAAAGCAAGACCATGCTGGTGGCTGGGTTCGATTCCCGGTCCGGTCTAGAATTTTTTCGGGTTGGAAAATTTCTCGACTTCCATGGGCATAAAGTATGATTGTACTTGCCAAACAATTATACTAATGCAAAAATTGTACAGGCCAGGCATCGGAAGCGCCCAATTAATAACTGTGGAAGTGCATCTAGAACACTAAGTTGAGAGCACGCAATAAACTAATTTGCGAGAAGCAATAAGTTTGAAGTGCGAGGAAGAAGAAGAAAAGAAGTGGCGTTAGATCCCGATCAGAGGAAGAAAAATTGCAGGATAGCGTGTTCTTTGATAGTGTCTCCTATAGACATTTTTAAGACGGATCAAAGGCTGAAGATAGTCGTCTATTATAATTGAATCGAATTTAACCTCGCATTTTGGTACTGAGGCAGCTCTTGCTTTAACTATAGAAGTAGCTCAGAGATTCAAGAGCATAATTAACATCATCTTTGGTTTGCAAAGGAATGTTTGGATCAAAGCTATATTCCATAAATGTTCAATATTGCTCCCAATCAGCTCTATGGTAATTGAAAGTAGAGCTGTTGGGATTAGAAATTATTTCTTGGGATATTTCAAAAGTTACTGGAAGGTGATCAGAACCGAAGTCAGCATGGGTATCCAATTGGCTACAAAGTTGACATGAATCGGTCAAGACCAAAGCAATAGTTGAGGGATTTCTTGCTGAAGAAAAGCATGTTGGGCTGTTTGGATATTGAATAGTGTAATAACCTGCAAAACAATCATCAAACAGAATATTACCAATGGAATTGCTTTGAGCATTATTCCATGAGCGGTGTTTTGCATTAAAATCACCAATGAACACAAAATGAAGAAAAGCGGCGCCGGTGGTGTAGGGAAGGGCAGTAAAGCCGTTGGTACCCGGTCCATGAGTTGATGGGACGATAGGTAGGGTCCAGGTGTGGAAGCTGCCTCCCTGACGTCGCGTCGGTAGCATTGGTGCTCAGCACGGAAAATAAGATCGACGGAAAACAAATCAAGGAAGAAAAAAACAAAATGAAGAATTTAGACCTATGGACAAATAGGCAGCTATAAACGTAAGTTGTTCAAATTTTGTTTCAACAGAAACTCCCAAAGTTTCAAGAACTTTGGTTTCAAATGAAGAAAGAATTTTATGTTTGATTCGTCTATGAACAACGCAATCCACACAATTCTTGGAAATAGAACTTTTAATGATTCTTCCAGGAATTCCCTGAAGGTTCCTCGTACCATAAATCCATTTTAAATTTTATCATTCTCATAGAAATTCCCTTGCAAATAATCTCAGAAATATCTTAAATTTCTGCTCCGAATAACCTTAAACTTCTCCTCTGAATTATATTGAAAAAAATAGTTCGTATTCGCCTCTGAGTTCCCATGGTATTTCCTCAGAATTATCAAAACAAAAATCCATCGCAGTGTACCTTTGAAACTCTTCTCAGAATTCCTTTAAGATTGTACCCCTAAAATTCAATTTCATTTGAATTCATCTGGAATTTCTTTCAAGAGCTCTTCTCTTAATATATTGGAATTTTTCACAAAATTGTTTTTGGTCTGAATTTTGCGTCTTTAATAATTTAATATCAAAAGTAACGGTCGTTTGTGTCAATCACAGGGCCGATTTTTTTTACCTCAGCTTAAGACCAGGTTTAAATATATGGGTAAACCTAATTTAAGATTCAAGCGGACGTGAAGAAATCGGCCATCAGAGCCCCTAAATAAAAAAAAAAGACTTACGTATTCTTTGGTATTCTTCTGTGAAATATATTGGTGTTATCATTAGAATTCCTCTAAAAATCTCGTCAAACTTCCGTTGCAATTTTCATTCAAAATGCTTGATAATTCTTCAAAGGCTAGACAAGGTTCAGAATTAATTTTCGGGAAAAGCAATTATATTTTCCCTGGATTGTCATCAAAATTCCAGGTATTTCCCAATCTTTATTCTGGTGAATATGATATGCATATTTCGTCATAACTACTGTAGACTTCCTTCGTGCCAAGTACTCTATTGAAACATTTTTATTTATTTTTTTCAAATTTAAATAAATAGGAAAAGTTATTTTTTAGTTACTTCAACCAAAATAGTGACCTAGCCAGGGTTGGCAAATGTCATTTTCAATGAAAGATCTCACGCGATATTTTCAGATATAATTTTGTCACTATCGTCGGATGAGAAAACGATAATAGATATTTTCTACAAAATCTCATCGAATTTTTTGTCATGACAGAACGTGACAGTGTTGTGATCATCGTAATTACTAGCTCATTTATTGCTATTAAAGTTACTTGCACCGAGGGAATCTTAATTATGTAATCACTCTACCGATTACATACCGTTGCTTGCTTAAATTCATCTAAATTAGTTAGAAATGTTGATGTCAAAACCGCATAAGAATTATTCTCATGAGTGCTTGATCATCAGAAAATGACAAGAAAACTAATGATAGGTAGTTTTGTCTCGTGATAGTGAGAGGACCTGTTTTCTCATTGTCAGCCACTAAAAAGTGAGCTGCTACCAGCCCTTCCGTGGATCTCTTCGCAGGATTTCTTTTGAATTTTCTCTAGAATCTCCTTTGTTGTGACTCAGAAAAATAAGGATTGTTGACAAATGCCAGATGTTTCCACTAAAAACAAAGTTGTAAATGAACAGAAAAAAATGTTGGGGGCACTCCACCTTAATATTAACGGACATGTCATCATCGTCATCCAAAGGAGATCTTATTAAACACGTTATCTTTGAAAATTAAATTGCAATTTATTACGTAATTTTGCAATCTCCCAGTTTTTTGTTTGACATCCATATCTATTAACATTAACAATGCGACTTATTCATCAGTTGTGCTCTTTCTCTCTTTTTTCTCTCTCTCTTGTTCCTTGTTACTCACAAAAAAAAACTTTGAATATGTACATAAAAATCTGTTTTACGCTACTGAATCTCACTCGCTACACCAGCGTACATTCTCTATCATCGTCATTCGAATTACATACATAATTATACGTCTGTACAATAGTCAATAGTTCGACCAATGCAGAAGCATTCTATCATTTTATCAAGAGTGCCGCCTGTGCTATCACTTGCATACCATCTAAGGTAGAATTTTGCTATTTTTTGTTCCACTTCTCGAGTGGAATATAGACAGTTTATAGGGTAATTTTGTGCCATCGAATTTCTATCATCTTTAAGATATATAGTTTACTTAGTCCCATTATAGTTTCAGTGAGCAACCGTTCCAAGACCGGCTCCATAAATAGTAGATGTTTGCTCTCGTATCGTGATATTCGAACAAAGAACGAATGGAAGGGATGTTTCGTACAGTTTAAGAATGTGAGGCAGGAAACAGTTCTTATCATACAATAGCGGTCTTCACCAGGCAGGATTGGGAATTGTTTCCTATCGAGCCGTCCAGACTGTCTAGATCCAGTGCAGTGTCGATCATTGTCGATTCTTGTAGCAATCGCAACCGATTTGAGCTGGTAATGAACCCACTAGTGCCGTTGCTACTACTGGCGTTGTTATTGATGCTACTGCTGCTGATGTTATTATTGTTGTTGCTACTACTGCTATGATTACTGACTGTGGTTAGGGTGTTACTGTTGTTACCATTGCTGCCCCCGGCGGCTTGGATTATCACGCTGGGATCCATCGTTTTTATTACATTTTTCATCTCGATTGCCGTTATTGGCTGAGAGCTTTTGAGCGGCGGAAGTGGTATATGCGTCGAAGGAGATGCAACTAACGCCGATGGACCACTGTCCACTAGACTGCCAGGTGACTGTATCGTGGCTGAAGTGGATTTGGTTGTGAATGCACTCGTCATCACCGGGTCATCCAGGTCCAGGTCATTAGTGATGAATGAGGAATTTAGCAGCGACTGATCATCGACTACCGGACTAAAATTGTTATTAACACTATTGCTATTCGGAAGTTGGTGGAAGTTAGTTCCACTGGAAGCGCTGTGCCGTTGACCGTTTACTACGTTTCCATTGCTAGTGTGGCTGCCATTGCCAATATTGGAATAAACGTGCAAATTGGGATCAATAGACTTACCAACGTCCCCGATATGTCCTACTGCTTTATTTAAACTAGCCCTTTTTGGTGACCCCACCAGTACTCCGTTACCGATCGTGCCCGATCCTGAGGGAATATTGCTGTAAACATTCTCGTGTCCGCTGACACTGGACACCATCATGAGTTCGCTAGCATTGATAATCTCATCGACATTCTGCATCTTATCGCTATCGGCAGATGTGGCCAGTTTCCCACTGGCAGACTCCCGGAACAGGTTATTGTAGCTGCCACTCAAATTGACTATCTTCGGTGGTTCTAACTCGACGATTGTATCGTCATCCATGACTATGGTGGTTGCGGTGGTATCCTCAATCCCCGACATGTTACCGGTGATGGACAGTGGAATCTCATTCTCCACCAGGTGCGCTATGCTATTGGATTTCTCTGGAAGGATAAAGAATTAAGAGAAAATATCCGTAAGTAAGGCAGATACAATTATGATTATTTTAAAGTTAAAAATAATAGGTATCTACAACAAGTAAACGCTAGCTACTGCAATCAAAGGCAATGAAAGTAAATAAAGGGAAACGAAAGATTGTAAAACGATTAAATAGTTTATAGGTTTAATTTTATTTACAGAATAGAATTATTTTAATACTCCATCGACATCCAAAAATAATCATGTTTAATGTGTTCAACACGTATGATTGTATGCAACCAGGATAAATGTACATGTGTCAATGCTATCAACAAATCGTATAAAATATACAATATGACGTAGTTGTACGGACAAATATAAATTTCCTTAATTAGAAATATCGAAAAACAAATTGTAAGTCCCAGTGCCTATTGCAACAAAATTTAAATTCCAAATACTGTAACCTGAAAAAGTTTTGCACGGGTACTTTAAGAATAAGGATCTGTCGCATCGTGCTATCGTAAAAAAGTTGGGAATCGCGAATTCCACGGTTTCTGATATCATAAAACGGTTCGAAGAACGTCTGACTGTTGATCGGAAGTGAAGATCCGAAAAAAGCCGTCAGGTCAACGAGAACGAACACAAACGCGTGGTTGGGGCCTTTAAACGGAAACCGAATGCCTCAGTCCGAGATGTGGCTAAATGTTGCATGTGAGCAAGATTTTCGTGCAGAATACCAAAACACGAGCTGGACTACGTACGTTTAAGGTTCAGAAGTCCCCAAACCGTGACGAGAAACAGAATACGGTCGCAAAAAGCCGTGACCGGAAGTTGTACAACCAGAAGTTAACGAAACCACACTGCTGCCTAATCGCTGACGAGACATATGTGAAGGCGGACTTCAACCAAATTCCAGGAAACCTGTATATGACTGCCAAGGGTAAGTGTGATGTTCCCGAGAACCTCCGGACACAGAAGATGTCGAAGTTCGCCAGAAGTTCTTCATTTGGCAAGCGATTTGTGCTTGCGGAAAGCGGAGTACACCGTTCGTTACCGCAAGCACCATGAATGGACAGGTGTATTTGGAAAAGTGTCTCCAAAAGCGGCTTCTCCCTCTCCTGAAGGCTCACGACGGTCCGACGATGTTCTGGCTGGATTTGGCATCATTCCACTACACGAAGGACGTGCTAGAGTGGTATAAGGCGAATGATGTCGATTTCGTGCCGAAAGATCTGATCACCCCCCTAAAATTAGGTCGTTACAAGCACCTTCTATCCTTGATAATGGCCCAGTATTTTTCTATTGGGCGCAGTTCCGGAGTGTTTGGGGGTGGTGAAGAATTAAGAAGAAATGAAGAAAGCATGGGTTAATATGCAAAAAACTGTCGATTCTGAGGTCGTGCCGAACTTTATGGCTGGGGTTAAGGCCAAGGATCGCGCATTCAGATATAAAGGCGAAATAAATTAAATGAATGATGCCAAAACTAACTTTAATTATTTCTTTTTACTCCCTAAAAAATTGGTGATAATCGGATAAAAACTCGAATTTTGAGAATTAATTTTGTGTGTACGAATTTTAAACGGTACACCCTTTAGGCTAAGATCTAATTTGGGCCTACTAAGCACGCCCTTGCCTCTATTTTTCGAGTGGATTTTTATTTAACAAAATGGAATGTTTTAAATGCAGATGACTTTTAAATTTATTTACCTTTTCGTACGTACTGTAAGATTTGATAAAGAGAATCAAAGTGTTGAGATATTGTTAAAAATATAACACTGCTTCTTGACCCCAAACTCGGCCTACGGATTCTAAATTAGGCCTAATGCATTGAAACGCTATTCAAACGCCATTGAATTCACTTCGGCCTATCAGATGAAATTGATTCGGTCGGAGCGCTTATTTTGTTTTTGAGAAAAATGCGTGTAAATATTCATATGACTTCGTTCGGTAGTTTTGAACTAAAGTATTGCGTTTTAAACGCATAATTGATTTGTTAACTTTGAAACAATGGATTTATTTGATGTTTTCTGCTCGATAGGCACAAAATGGGCGATTTAGCCAAAGTAGTGCTCTACCCGAGCAAAGTAGAATAACAACCCGATATCATCTAGATAACAAGTCTTGTTATCCCAGATATCATTTTGTTTTCAGTTGTTATCGCATAACTTATTTAGTTATCAGCCTTGATCAATTTTGTTATCAGTTGTTATCATGAAAAATTCACTATATATTTATTAACGATGAAAGGTTAGTTCAAAACTTTTAATATTATTCGCATTGAAACAATAAAAAATAGTGCTTTTAATCCCTAATCATATTTCAGTTATCAGCGTAAGGCATTGATATCAAAATTATAACATGATTTGAAATGTATGAAATAAATTTGTATGGCTTACAGAATTTATTATCAAGATATTATCAATGATAACAAAATTAGTTATTTTTGTGAAATCCAACGAGCAATTTTTTGTTACCATTTTTGTTATGTTGGCTGTTAATTCAACCATAATGATAACATATTCAGTTATCAAAAAGTGATAACCGGGTAATAGAACTTGTTATCAATTTGATATTTTACTTTGCTCGGGTACCTTACCTGCAAGGTTAATTTCAACAATAGATGTCGTTAATACAAAAAGTATAAACCTTTTTATTATATATGCATATCTAAAACTACTGTTTTTTTTTTTTTTATTTCGAGATTACAAACATTTTAGACAAAAAAAAATTAAAGGGTTTGCATGTATAACTTTTCCAAGTTCCTCATTTCCTCACTGTGATAGGTGGTCACGCCATGATCCGACTTAATTCGCTGACTTGCTCCTGTTTGCTGCAGGACCAAGTGCCACGCCGTCCGAAGCGGTAATGAGCAGAAGCAGCGCTGTTTTATATCTTTTCAGGTTCAAGCAGAACGATGTACAACCAAATGGTACTCGATTATGACGACTGGGTTAGGGAAAATCGTTTATTTCATGAAAACAGAGATAAAATTATCATTTGTACATTTTTCAAATGGTTTTTTGTGGAAAATCGAAAAAAAATACTTATTTCGGCAGATTCGTAATGTAATATCCTATCGATTGGCGTATTTGGATTTTATTTTCATCTATAAATGACAAAGTTACAAGCGTTCAAAACCTAACACGCATATTTTTTGATTTGCACCCCAGTATAGTCGACAAAGACGTAGTTCTACGCCAAAAAAAAAACAAGCTTAAGCGAAGACAACCTACCAAGAAGACTGGCAACTCTCCGGTTTTCTCATACAACCACTATGACACAGACACAGTTGCGTCATCTATCACTCAAAGTTTAATTCTTTGAACGAATTTGACATCAATGATTACAACCTCAGAAAAGAGGTTTGCATATAACCTCATTTTCCAATGCACGGCTTCCGTCATACAGATTCAGGCAAGCTCATGGAGAATCTCTAGGAAGTCTAAGGCACTCAAAACATCCTGGGAAAATTCAAGAAAGGTTTAATTTTCTTCAACATCCTGGTCACTGAAATCACTATTTTCAAGCATCAACTCAGAAAATGTTGGCTGAGGTAATTTAATGTTTTCCATCATACTGCATGTTTTGTTATTACTATTTGCTTCCTTTAGGTGTTCGTTTTTCTACTATAGAGTAGATGTGCCAGTCATGATTAAACGTTCCAATTATGGCATATTGGAATTCCATAATAGCCATAATTGGTACACCTACCACTAAATTCGTTTTTATTTTTCAACAATAGCGAAGAAACTTTTGACAAAGCAGGTAAATGCAAAGGGACTGTTCATAAACTACGTAGAGAGTTAGCCATGGCCCATACAAATTTAAAAAAAAAATTGTACGGACAATTGTCTACGCAGGGGGAGGGGGGTTAAGAATCCTAAAAAATCGTCTACGTAGATAATGAACAGCTCCAATTCTACATGTTTGTATTATATCAGGGTGGTGACTCAATGCAAATTCCCTGATATTCCCTGATTTTAAAGTAATTTTTAATATTCCAGGTACTGTGCCTAGCACGATCGGATCAGGTATTACTTTCCTCCGGTATGTACTAGTGCATGAAATACCCCATGGACCTCTAACCCATGACGAGTGGTCCAGTACAATCTCAAATTGAATTCGATACATTTTATAGATTGTAAAAAAGACAGAAATTGCGTGTTGCCAAAATCGGGTAGGCACCGCATTTTTCTAAATTCACAAATTTTAAACTTGGTAGGAGCCAGGTACCAGTTCAAGCAGTAACCGGGATGTTAATATAGGTTAATCGCTTAATGTTTTCAGCATGTTCACGATCCGTTTCTTACCTCGATTTACTTCATGATACAAGAAGAGGTCCTTGGCATAGCAATTTTCTCACCGTTAGAAGTTCATTTCTAACTGTTTCCGAACTCAACGTTAAGAACGGAAGTTCACCCAGTTTTCCTACATCTTACATATGAAGCACTTGTCTTTAATCCCATTATATTTTTCTCCCTTGAGCACATTTTGAAACCCAGCTCCACAAGAAAATTATTCGGGATAATACGATTAACCAAACTCTAATACACGGATAGATTCCTCCTGATTATGTCGGTAATCACAATACTAAATCTTCACTGAGAAGCTAATTTTCCAAGCTGACCAGCTTCACAATGTAAGTCTAGAATATTCAAACTTTACTATTCTTGTATTCCTTCAAAGGTGCTCTAATGCGCCAAAGGATTAGTTTTAGTTGTACACAGTTGAATCGAGCAGACGCACCAATCTACTCGAAGGTTGAATTTTGTCAGACACAATTAGGTGTAACATCTATTAAGAGACGCACATACCTATTTGGTGGTTACATTTAGCAACAACTAACAAGGTACAGCTCTACGGCAATGGATTTTTATCAACCCTCAGGATTTCAGTTCAACTCAGGAATTTAAAATTTAAAATGAAGAACCCTCCTCAAACTACACCGAGTAATTAAGTTGTTTGAACCTAGCCAAATCAGTAATACTTTTTAAAAAGTTTCTGTGACTAAAAAATATGTCCCTGC